CCCTACTCTATAAGGCAGTATTATGCAACTAGGTATAATTCAGGGTGACCACGTGCAGAAGTAATAACTTTGGACACCAAAGCAGGTCTCACACACTCTATAGCATTGTTTTAAGAAGTAAATCTAGAAACTGCACAAAAGCACAATTATAAGACTTGTCAATTAAACAACAATTTTAATTGATTCCTCAGATAAAGGTGAAACATTAGTAATTATTTTCAAGTATGCTTTGGCAACTTGTCTTCAAATTTGTGAACACAGATGCAGTGTTGAAGCTCAGGTTCTAACAAATGTTTATACAAACATCTTGGTAGTAGCCTTGGCATTGCTATTTGCATGTTTTCAGTAGTTTTCAAAGCCACAATCTTTACTGTATTTATTACACACAAAAAGTTTAACACCGTGAAGGCATTAACACTAATAACACTTATCAAAAGCTCACCTCAACTTAGTAGTTTGTTTAGTGATTTTAAACAAAAATAAGGTTGGTATATGTAAAAAGTTTAGTTTTTGTATTTCTTCAAATATATTATTCACAAAATCTACAAATTCTGCATAACCACGAGACAATATAACTACGCTTACACTGAACTGTGCAAGTCCAAATTCCGTTCTCATCTATTTTTTCATAAACACAGTATTACTGATACTTAAAGCACTCAAGAAAAACACAGTTATAGCTGCAGCTCTCCAGTTGTCAACCAAGCTATTCCAGGCCTTAACGGAATTCAGACAAACTCCAAGGTTGCATTCACCTGAAGTGTGAAAGTGCCTTAGCACAAGTTGAGAGGCTGTCAACGTGGTGGTGAGTAGGCAGCATGTAACCTCAAGATTAGATTCCTTAAGTCCATGAGAAATGCCACATAATCCTAGTTTCACAGCCAGCAGAGCTGTCTTTTATGGTAGTATGGCCAAGCTGTCTGGAGAGCAAACCTCATGCTCTCCTGAGAATATACTAACACAGAAAAAGTATGTGAACTACGGTAGGTGACTTGGGTCTAAAGCTTATAAGGAACAGCCTTCAACAAATGAACGAAGACAGACTCATCTGGGCTGAAGGGAGCTTGCCAGACCAAGACAAGCAGAGTGGCATTGTGAGAAGAGCAACTGATTGCTCTCTGGGCAGAAAAAATGACTGCTGGCCACCTTCAGCACTACTATTCCAGACCTTGCTCAAATCTCTTTTCTGCCAAGCTCTCAAGCCTTTATGTAGTACTGGGCCTAACTAAAAGAACAGTTGCCACAAAGCAACGGTTATAAAGAAGTAGTCATATACTTACAGCTGCCACCTAAACAGGCATACAAATAAGGCAGCTAATGGGAAGGAGACAAGACAACAGCTATTATAGAAGTAATCCTCGTTAACAGGATGGAACGGGTTAATATATAAAAAGCAAAAGGTAGCTGAGATAACAGGGATCATGAAACAGCATCGTTCACTAAGAGGTACCAAATTTCAAAAGCCTCCGCAAGGAGTATCTAGGACATAACACATGTGCTAAAGGAGACAAAAGTCTTCTAAAGAGCAGTGCTTGCAAATGTCACAAGTTAGAGTTTGCATGCTTGGAACTACAAATCATATTTGTAAATTTAGATAAGCTTATTGTAACTTGTTCCATTAAAAAAGTGAGTAAAGCTACAACTGTTAATCAGCTTATAGTTTTACAACTGAAAAAGATGATTTTAAGAATGTATGCACTTTTCCTTTCTGAACATTCTCTATGGTCATCACTTACTCTAATCCATACCACAAGTGGAAGAAATCTGTCTCTTTCATTAAGACATGGAGAACACTTACTAAGCAACCGTACATGATTTAAAAAAGAAAAAATTAAACCCACAAAAAAAAAATTACCCTTATTCCATGGAGCAGAGTAGCTTCACATTTGAAAGAGAAATTCGACAATAGTCTAAGGATTAAACTGCACCTTCAGTGCAAGACTTTATTTCTGAAGATTTGAAGCTGAAGTAACTCCATCTGTTTAACCGGAGATAGACCTACACTGAACCACAGTTTATCCCTAAATAACTTATTAGAGAGCTCATTTGGTGATGGCAATCAATATTCTCCAAGATATTTTGTTAAGAGTATGAACACTAACTAGACTTACTAGAGAGTGGGAGGGGGATGACTCGTGAGGAGAATTTTCTACAGAAAACCAGCTGTTAAGCAATCACAGTCCTAGCAGCAATGACAAATCACAAAGTTCAGGACTGCTAAATTTCAAGTTTGGCTCCAATTCTACTTCTAAAATGAAAAACTACATGAGAGTAGGGACACAGAACACCTGTTGCTGGAACATTTTATATCACTGTGCTCTCTTGCCTATTCTTACAGCCCTACCTATCACATTTGTGATAAGAAAACATCTAAATAACGGAAACAATATTATCCGTTTCCTCTTTCTCTTTTGTTTTAACATAGAAGTCAACTGATATTTTGGAATCATATAAACAAGGAGTTAGTTATGTCTTAAAACAAAGAGTATTTTTTTTTATGTCACCCTGCTCAGCTTTATTTCCAGAGAGAAGAAAAATTTTCTAAGTCTTTCCCATTTTCAAAATTTTCTTTCAGTTTTAGGCAATGCATTACTGTTGGCTTTTCTGTTTCTACAAAGTTTACTGAAGTTCTGGAGACACAACTTCCAACATAAATGATTTTATGACTTGTTTAAAATTAAGTGGTTTTTTTAAAAACAAAAGAAAACAACTTGTTATAAAATGAAAAAAAAAGAACAGTGTAGTATTATGCATTTTAACCATCCATCATGTGGAATATTTTCAAAGAAAACAAAATGAAGTGAGCTACTCTAAGCTATATGTATTCATTAACAATTACATAAGTGGACATGAACCTACACAAGTTAAACCGAGGAGGTTTTTAACACAAGTTAAAAAGAGTTACTCTCTAACTGCTGAGTCTAGAGTCTGGCTCATTCCAATGTATAAACTAACAAGCTTCTGTTTCTCTCACATAGGAGTCATAAGGAACTGTGTCTTTCCTGTGTTCAACATTTTGTCCACCAACACTCATACAAAACACTCTGAGACTCTCTGCTGGTAATCCATATATCTGCACTATGAAGTAATAAATCTAGAAATAGTCTAATAAGTACAGATTGGAATACATTACAGTCAAAACTTACTTATAGGATTTTTTAAAATGTTGAGCAAATTTGAGTGCCACAAACAAATCACAGAAACAGACCATTTCTCAAAATATTTCTTTCACAGCAGCAACTCTAAGAGCCTTCATTTGAATCACTTTTTAGTTCAGGATATTACTACAGCCTTAATTACCTAGAATCAAAAGAAACTGTCAAGAGC